TCTAAACATTCATGTACTCAAAATACAGTGCCTAGTGGGAGTAATACATATATAGCATATATATAATTTGACATCTCTCTCTCTCTCTCTCTCTCTCTCTCTCTCTCTCTCTCTCTCTCTCTCTCTCTCTCTCTCTCTCTCCTGCTTGGGCAAGTCGCAGCAGCGCTGATGTCTAAACATTCATGTACTCAAAATACAGTGCGTAGTGGGAGTAATACATTCAACTGATGAATCTATTACAATAAGGAATATATTCATTTTTTAGATATAATCGTAGAGATGGTAGTTTGAGATAATGTTAACGGATATATAATATCTGGAATACAGAAGCAGCATCAATTTAAATAGCGATATCAGATGTCTCATATAGATCTATACAACAAGAGATTTATATATGCAATGTTTGAATAGTATATATGCATTATATATGTAATGTTTGATATTATGTTTTATCAAAAGCCAACACAATAATTTCATGCGGGATCCAGATAATCTGGTATTCTGATTGGCAGCACAATTAAACATTACTACAGTGGAAGCTGTTATCTTGAAACAGGTATAACATTCACTAGCCATCATACCAACATTAAAACATATTTATATAAAAAATGTATTCATTTTAACAAGTCAATGTATTCAGAAAGTGTACAAATATTCATTTTTATCCAACGCCAGCACATCAATTTCGGTCAAGACCCACAGCCAACGGGAGGCGGGAGCCTTGTTCCCGGCCTTCCTGTCGGGTACCGAAGCTGAAATTTGCTGCCGAAGCTGCCAACCACCCGCTCAACCACTCGAGTGGATTCCGAAGCTGCCAAGCTGTCTGCCCAAGCGATTTCGAGACTTCCGAGCCTGCTTGGGCTGATTTCGTTTCGACGCGACGCGTCGAAAGTAGGTTTCTCCGCTCAGCTCAATTTGTTACTTCAGACATAACCCCCGAAACCATACTTTTCGGAGGGCCCCATTTTTGGGATGTTGGATCAGTGATCGGACGGGCGGCGCTTTGCATGACAGCCCTCGACGTCGCGACGGCGAAGAGAGTGTAACAGGTGCCGAACGATTCGCGAATAATGGAACTCGTAGAAGCGGCCGTTGAACGGACGACTCTCGAGTCAACTCATAAGCTGGCTGAACTGCATAGGGAACTGTCGCGCGATAATGTGAGGGCGACAGCGAAAGCACGGGGGCTGCAGTGCAGATGCCATTGTTGTAGGAAAATATCACCTATGCGCGTATGGCCTAGCGACCACGGTCTGTGCGGCAGCTAGCAGCAGACGCTCTTAGTTCTATCCGTCGTCACGCTTCGTGGAGAGATTAGTCTCTTGTTTTTGTGGAGGTTTAACTTAAAGCCACACCACTCATGAAAGGCTAAACCAGTTTGCCATCGCGAAGGTCTTGGCGCACGAAAAGTTTGGATTTCGCGCTGGCAAGTTTGTTTTCGTCAGCCCCGACCAATTACCTCGCCGTTACATGAGGACCGTCGCAGCCAGTCACCTCCCTTCTCGACATCCCCACCCAATAAGCAAGCAGCACCGCGCGTCGTGCTCATCTGCGCTGTTCTGCGGTGTTCTGCAGGAAGGTTCAGGTTCCAGCCAGAATCGAGAGCAGGTTTCTGTGGAGTGTTCCTCGGTCGGTGGTTCAGTTCGGTTCTAATCGCTTCCCTGCTAGGTTCAAACTTCAAACGTCATCCATTCTTCATGGTCGTTTAGGGCGCTCGTGAGTCGTGAAGCTCGAGTTTCCATGGAGCCTTGCGCGCACATCCACCACCTCACTGACGATCTTCTCATTCGAATCCTATGGCACTCCGCAAATCCCGGCACCTGCTTAGTTGAAAGCGACGCTATATGGACCTCCTTGCAACACAAGCCCAGGTACCTCCGTCCGCACCGCTTACTACCTGGCGTTGATTCGCCTGCGTACCAGCCGCACTTGGCGCTAACAAATCAACTCTCCGCAGACTCCGCGGGTTACCATCTCCTCATCGCGTCGGTCTGCCGTCGTTGGCGGCGACTCGCTCAGCTCTCCGTCTCCACCCTTTCCCTCCGAAGCAACCTCGACGTGCCTCTCGAATTTCTTGCGACAGCTGTCGCTTGCTTCCCGAATCTGACCTCTCTGCGTCTTTGCGACGGCAGCGTGGCGACAATGAGCGACGATTTTCTCGATCGCCTAGCATCGTCGTGCCCTAATATAACGTTTCTTCACATTGGAAGCATATTCACATTCGTGAATCACGGCATAAGCAAGGAGAACCACCCGGTAACCGAATCCGGTTTGGATCGGCTGTTTCAACATTGCACGCAGCTGAAGCAGCTTTCGTTCTTTTGTCTCCAAGAAAACATGGATCTACCAGCTTCTTTTTTCCGACTCGCACACTTACACTCTTTCACCAACTCCGTTAATGCTCGAATCCCCTCATCTCGCGAACCTTTCGTCACTGACAGCTCTCCGGATCGCCTCGTGTTACCTCAAATCCAAGCAATTCGCAGATCTCCTTCGCCTTCCGAGCATCACCAACCTTTCGATCTCAGATGAAACCCAGATTTCGCTCCGCGATCAACTCGCTGCTGCTCTCATCCTCCCACAGCTGCCGCTGTTGACATTGGAATGTAGCCTAACAATTCCGTCACATCTACCGTGTAGCCGTCTCGAGCGGCTGCTCATCTCCAACTCAGACCAACTCGAGCAGCTTCCTGGAAACATCGCGGAGCTTCTCCCGAGCCTTCGTGAGCTGAGCATTCGCGGCTGCAAAAACTATTACCATCTGCCCGAAGGATTCACCTCTCTCAGCGTGTTGGATCGCCTGACGATATCTTCCTGTTGCCGGTTCTCGAGCCTACCTGAGAACTTTGGACGGCTGGCAGCGCTGAAGTCTTTGGTGCTGGAGATGCTGCCACTAGAGAAACTTCTTGACTCATTCTGCTGCCATCCCACCTTTCTGGAAAACTCCACATCCCATCTATCCGAGCAGCTGATATTCCCGACTTCCTTGACGAGCTTAACGATTTCCACTTGCCGCAAGCTCACCAACCTGCCCGAGAATTTTGGGCAGCTTCCGGCCCTCAGAACATTGGTTCTAGATAATCTCACACTCACCAACCTTCCAGATTCTTTCAGCCTACTCACATCCCTGGAGACCCTATTCATACTCGACTGCGAGGAGATTGAGCAGCTGCCAGCCGGGTTCTGCAGCCTCACAGCCCTCACCACTCTCTGCCTCGTGAGGCTGTGGGAGGTGAAGCTTCCAGAAGACATCGGCGCGTTGCTGCAACTGCATACTCTTCTGCTGGACAGCAACTCTCAGGAACAGCTACTCCCACCGTCGTTCACCCAGCTGAGATGTCTAACCAGGCTTGAACTCAACCGCTGCAAGATTGAGTCCCTTCCAGAGGGCATGGGGAATCTCAGCAGCTTGCAGCAGCTCCACATTGATTCATGCGGCCAGTTGAGCGAGCTCCCAGCGTCCATTTCAGCCCTCTGGTGTCTTCAAATGCTGACCGTTCATTCCTGTCGACGGCTCTCCTTGGCTCCAATCAGGCTGGACAGGCTCAGAAGGCTCAAACACCTGGAGATAACCAACTGCCACTCGCTGCCTGAATCCGTCCAATTTCTGCCGCCCTTTCTTGAGAAGCTGAGCCTGGAAACCAGTGACAGCACTGCCCCTCTGCTGACAATCCCAATGCTGCCAGAGCTGAGACAGCTGAAGCTATCTTGGGTCCGTGTGGACCGACCACTGGAATTCAGCGAAAGCTTGTCGCTTCTGAAGCATTTGGAGCTGTTCTTGGAGAAAACTGCAACAGAGCTTCCATTCCTGCTGGCATCCCTTTCCCAGCTGCGCACCTTGGCGATCTATCATGCTGCCAAGATTCCCAGTCTTCCAGAGAGCATTGGCGCAGCTCTGCAGGAGCTGAAGGAGCTAAAGATACACAATGCTGCGGATTTGGCTGAGCTGCCAGAGAGCGTTGTGGAGTTGCAGCAGCTGATTTCGTTGGAGGTTCATGCATGCAGCAGCCTAGCTCGCCTCCCGGAGGGCATCAATGCCCTGACCAGGCTGCGCAAACTGAACGTGTCGGACTGCAAGGCGTTGATGCAGCTTCCTGCTTCTCTCACCCGCCTCGCATGCCTGACTGAGCTCGATCTTTCCTCCACCCGCATCGACTCGCTTCCTCCCCACTTTGTGCAGCTGGGCAGCCTAAGGCAGCTTGTCTTAGATGGGTGTTGGCGGTTGAAGGCACTACCATGGGACATGGCTGAGCTGAAGATGCTGCTGTATCTGGGTGTGAAGCGATGCAAGCAGTTGCTGGATCGTGAAGGGTATGTGCAGCCCCGTAGCTTATATACTAGTAAAGTGCTTCAGATAGGCCTTAAGTGAGTCAGTGGACATCACTGAGTGGCTTGCTTGGAACCACAAGAGGTTTGAATCTGTAAAGAATACATGCTGCTGAGACATGTCGCCCATGTTAAAGCTCAAGGCCCAAATTGCGGGCCGCGCTGGGCAAGATTACTAATCTTGCGCAGCTGTTGTTTGGGTTCTGTGAGTTGGCGAATGTTGGGTTACAGTAGGTACGAGTGAATCTGATTGGTCGAGGCCAATCTCAGAGCCGAAACTTCTCAGGTCAAGTTTCAGTATTTCTCAGTCTGGGACTCTCGGATCCAAAACAGAATGTTGGCCCTGGGGTTTGCTGACTCAGCGAGTGTTGCGAGAGCTTGTGCGAAATAGGTCAACCCCACCCTCCCAAGACTTTCTAGACCAGCCCAAACCCTTGCGCAAGATTACTATTCTTGCGCAATTTGGGCCTTGAGCTTTAATATAGTTGCTGCTGCACATGTTCTTGTACTTGCTTACCGGTATATGTTGTGCCTTTGTGTGCACCTGTATCCTCTGGTGTGGAATGACACAGTGCTGAGATTTCATGTTGAGGAGAAAAACAACTGAAGATATGCTTTGCATTATCTAGATTCCAGTAGTTCTACAGCTAACCAAATATTGTACGTCAGCTTGATCACTCGTCATCATCATCACACAAGTCAATTATCTCCTCATCATCATCTACAGCCACCACTGCCGGCTCGGCTCCACTCAACTGTTGCTGCTCTTGTTTCACATCCGGCACACCTTCCCCTTGTAACACCTGCTGCTGCTGTTGCTGCTGTTGCTGCTGCTGCTGCTGTTGCTGCTGTTGCTGCTGCTGCTGCTGTTGCTGCTGTTGCTGCTGCTGCTGTTGCTGCTGCTCCTGCTTTTGGGACCTTCCTTCCCGTGGGCTCTCCAGGCAAGCCTCCTCTTGGCCTGTTCCAGCCGAGCACTTCTCACCGGAGCAGCTCTGCTCACCATTCTCCTCTGTAGCCTGCTTCCCATCCACACTCTTCTTCCCACCACCCTGTTCCACAACAGCGTGATTTTCATCAGGCCCTGAAGCAGCACCTGCTTTGCTGCCTGGTACGCGCTTTACCCCAGTGTGCACGTGGGGGGCGCCAGTCCCTTGCACACCCACAGTGCCCTGTTCTGTTACGTTAGGCATTCCAGGCGGTCTTTCAGGTGATTCCAACGGCTTCACAGGAGGGGATCTCTTCAAAGATGATCTTGTCAAACGTGGTTCAGTAGGAGGTGATTTTGCCGAAGCTAATTTCGCCGGAGGAGATTTTGCCGAAGATGATTTCGCCGGAGGTGATTTTGCCGAAGCTGATTTCGCTGGAGGTGATTTTGCCGAAGCAAATTTCGCCAGAGGTGATTTTGCTGAAGGTGGTTTTGGTGGAGGTGCGGGGAGCACCTCAACAACCGTGTTGCCATTCTCTGCTGCCACTCTTGTCGAACCTTGGCCCGCCCCAACACTCTTTCCCCAAGGCGCTACACGCTGCTCGACAACAGAGTCCCCTCTCTCTGCTCGCTCTGCTGACACTCGCACCTCCACCACCATCTCGTCACTTCCTGGAGACTCCTCACCCTCCTGTCTCTGCCGTGCATCCCCTCCTCCTCCGGACTCCGACTTACTCTTTCTTTCCTTCTGCTGCTCTGCATCAGCTCCCTCTCCTTCAGCCTTCTCCGTTGGGAGCCTTCTCTGCTGCGCCTCTTCCAGTGCTTCTTTCTCTTGGATTCCCCATGCTTTTGTGCTCGCTATGGGGCTGCCTCCTTCATCCACGTCACCACCCGAGTGACCCTGCGCGGCCGGCTCCTGGACCTGCGTGATTCGCTCTGCAGAACCACCGTCAGCAGAAAGAGACCCGGCCGGAGGAGGAGGAGGAGTGGGAGAAGCAAGAGGAGCAGCAGAAGCGGCAGCGCTAGCAGCGGACTTGGGTTCTTCACTACAATCTATTGCTGCAACACCTGCTCCACCTGCATCAGACGCCCCCGCTGCATCAGAAGCTTCAGACCTCTCACACTCTGCTGCTCCAGAAGGTCTCCCTTTAAGCTTAGCTGATGCAGCAGGCATAGCAGCAATCACATTGGGTCTCTCACTCCCCGCAGCTGCTACAACCGGATCACGCGTACGTGTGGCAGATGCATCCCCATTGCCTTTCGTCGCTACAACCTCATCTGCAGTATTCGCAGGAGCACTCTCACTCCCCCCTCCTGCAACAAAATCAGAACATGCATCCCCCCCAGCTGCTACAGCCTCCACCTCAGGATCAACAGATGCATTTTCTCCTGTTGCTACAGCCGCAACCTCGGGATCAGAGGATGCATTCTCGCCTGCTGCTGCCTCAGCCTCGGCGTTGAGGCGGCGGATGAGCGCTACATACGGGTCACACTCCGCCTCCTCTTGCGGCTCCTTGGAAGTAGATTCCGATCGGTTCTGAGGTGCTGCTAATCCAGCTTCGGCCTGGTTTTGAGGGGCCTTGACGGAGGAGGTAGCTTGCAGGTGACTGGCAAGGGCAGCAGTTACGGTGGCAGCTGGGGCAGAAGCACGAGTGGCAGGAGTGCCGATCACATATGGCTCTGTCCATGGCACACTGCCCTTGGGATCCTGCTGCTGCTGCTGCTCTTTTCTCTTCTGCTGCGGTTGAGTCTCCTGTTGCTGCTGCTGCTGCAGCCCCTGCTGCAACTGCATCGCAATGTCCTGCTGCTCCTTCTGCCGCAACCGCTGCTGCTGCAGCTGCTGCCGCATCCCCACCCCCACCTGCTGCTGCTGCTGCTGCTGCTGCTGCTGCTGCTGCTGCTGCTGCTGCTGCTGGCGGGTCTTCAGTTCCGCTGCCACCACGTCCATTGCCGTCTGAATTGTGTCTGCAGTCGCACCCGCCGCAGTGCTACCTGCACCAGCAGAGCCTGATGCTGTCGTACGGTTCAGCTGGGACAGCCTTGCAGACTCACGCAGACAGGCAAACGAGGCAGGCAGGGAGGAGGAGTGAGAGGCAGAGAAACTGGCTTTGTGTTCAGATCGGCTAGTGAGACCTGAGATGCTGCTGCTGCTGCTGGTCGGATGCACGTAACTGTTGCTCTAGCTGTTGCTGCTGTTGCTGCAAGCGCTGTTGTTGCCGCAGCTGCTGCTGTTTCTGCTGCTCCTGCTGCTGCTGTTGCTGGTCAGATGCACATAACTGTTGCTCTAGCTGTTGCTGCTGTTGTTGCTGTTGCAGCAACCGCTCTTGTTGCCGCAGCTTCTGCTGCTTCTGCTGCTCCTGCTGCTGCTGCTGTTGGTACAAGGCTCGTAACTGTTGCTCTAGCTGCTGCTGTTGCTGCTGCTCTTGCTGTTGTTGCCGCAGCTGCTGCAAATGCTGCTCCTGCTGCTGCTGTTGCAGCTGGTACAAGGCACGTAACTGATGCTCTAGCTGTTGCTGCTGCTGCTGATCCTGCTGTTGCTGCTGCTGCTGTTGCTGCGGCTGCACCTGCTGCACCTGCTGCTGATACAAGGCACGCAACTGCTGCTCTAGCTGCTGCTGCTGCTCCAGCCGCTGTAATCGCTCCTGCTGCCGCAGCTGCTGCTGCAGTTGCATTTGCTGCAGCCGCTGCTGCTGCTGCTGCCGCCGCTGCTCCTCCTGCTGCTGCTGCTGCTGCTGCAACTGTCCCTGCGCCTGGGGCTGAACAGGATCCTGAAACAGCTTCTGGTAAAGCTGCTCTATCTGCTGCTGTCGAGTCAGTCTTTCCCGCCCGCCTCCTCTCTCTTGCTGCACCTGCTTCTGCAGTGTCTGGTTGCTGGCCCTGCCGCTCCCATGCCCTGGGGCCGGTGCTGTGTGCGGTGGTTGAGTCGCTTGTACTGCTGCCCGTGGCGCTTGGCTCTCCTGGTTCAATGGCACACTTGCGTGTGTTGCGTGTGCTGCATGGGGTGCATGTGCTGTTTGAGCTCCTTGTGCCATGTGCGATGAAGATGGCGCCTTAGCAGCAGCAGCCACCCAACCGGGTACACGAGTTGCAGCAGAAGCAGCAGCAGCAGCACCAGCAGAAACGGCAGCAGCACCGGTAGCACCAGCAGCACCAACAGAAACGGCAGCACGGGCAGTGGTGGCGGCAGTGGCAGCAGTGGTGTTGGCAGTGGCAGTGACAGTGGTGGCAGTGGCAGTGGTGGCAGCGGCGGTGGTCTTGTGGTGGTATTCGAGGTTGAGCGCGCGGCACAGCAGCTCCACTCGCCGCTTGCAGAACTCCACCACTCGCTTCTGTCCCGCGTTCCATGCCAGGTGCTCCTCCCGTGTCCACGGTCGTAGCCGCTTGCCTGCTGGTATGCCTCCGCTTGTTGATGCTGCTGGTAGTTGTGCTGCTGGTGCTGCTGTTGGTGCTGGTGGTGCTGTTGCTGTTGCTGTTGGTGCTGGTGGTGCTGATTGTGCTGCTGTTGGCACTGATGGTGCTGCTGTTGGTGCCGCTGCTGATGCTGATGGTGCTGCTGACGCTGCTCCTGGCACCCTCTCTGCTTCTGCTTTCGCTGCTTCCCTGTCCGTTGCTTCCTCCTTCGTTTCCTCCTTCCCTCCCTCCATTGCTTCCCCCTTCACTTCTCCCTTCACTTCCGCCTTTGTTTCCTCCTTCGTTTCATCCTTTGCTTCCTCCTTCATTTCCTCTCTTTCTTCCTCCTTTTCCCTCTCACTTGCTCCCTCCTTCGTTTCTTCCTTCACTTCTTCCTTCAATTCCTCCTTCACTCCCTCTGTTCCTTCCTCCATTGTCACACGTTTATCAGCATCATCAGCACCACTGGCACCACCATCAGCACCACTGGCACCAGCAGCAGCACCTGTTTCAGCTTTCACACCCGCAATCATGCGATCCCCCTCAGCACCCTCTTGCACTGCTGCCGCCTTCCCCTCTGCTCTCCCCTCCTCCCTAGAACCTGCCATGTCACCCATTGCAACCTCCCCACCACCAACCACTCCCCCAGGGTTGGTTGTCACAGCATCAGGTTTGGTGGGTGCATCAGCAGGACCGATAGTCGAAGCAACAGGATTGGTGGTCACCACACTAGGTCTGGTAGGTGCATCACCGGGATTGGTGGGCTGGGCAGCCGAGGTGGCAACTGGGGTAGGTCGAACGTCCGGGATGTCCTCCAGGGAAAGGCCAATCATGTTGCGGGGCGGGGCGGGCGGCAGCGACAGCTCAGCGCGCGCCACGTCAGCGAGGCCCAATTTATCGTCATTGATGATGTCACTCCACCGCCCGTAGCCGTGCCTGCAAGGTAGGGGTGGGGGGGAGGTGAGGGGGAGGTGAGGGGGAGGTGAGTGGGAGGTGAGTGGGAGGTGAGTGGGAGGTGAGTGGGCATGAATGATAGGCTCAAGTGGGAACGGAAACTTTAGGTGCGAGTGGGAACCGGCCGTCCTTTGTAATGTCACTCCACCGTGCGTAGCCGTGCCTGCGAGGTAGGGGGGTGGGGGGGAGGTGAGGTGAGGGGGAGGTGAGTGGGAATGAATGATGGTAGGGGTTAGAACGGAAAGTATGGGTGCGAGTGGGAACCGGCCGTCCTTTGTAATGTCACTCCACCGTGCGTAGCCGTGCCTGCGCGGAAAGGATGGGGCGAAGGTGAGGTGGGGAGGTGGTCATAGATTGGGGGGGAGACAGAGAGTGATGGCAGCAGAAGGAAGAATGGAAAGCACGGGTGTGTCTGGCAAGTGGTCACTTCACACCGGCAAGTGGCATGGCTAAGAGCGGTCATTGATAATGTCACTCCACCGCTCGTAGCCGTGCCTGCGTGGAATTGAAAAGGCAGGCAGGGTTTTGGGGGAGGGTTGAGACGGAGTGATGGCAGGCAGGCGCAAGCAAGGCAGGACGAGAAGCACATGCGTGGGTCACTACACCTCCCAAAGCACACTTGGTAATTCCTTTTGAGAGGCTGCAGGTCATGCTGAGGATAGGTGAAAGTGAAATGCATGCACAAGGGCAACTCACTTGGTGATGCCTTTCAGCAGCAGCAGGTCATGCTCTGCTCGCCAGTGTCGCGTGCGGAACAGCGGTGCCAGCTGGCTGTGGCTCTTCAGGTGCTCTGGTAGCCCTGGCAGCAACTCCTCCCAACCCAGCTCCACCGCTTCCTCTTCCTCTTCCACCCCCTCTTCCTTTTCACCCTCCTTCTTGTCACCCTCCTTCTTGTCACCCTGCTTCTTTTCACCCTCCTTCTTTTCACCCTCCTTCTTTTCACCCTGCTTCTTTTCACCCTCCTTCTTTTCACCCTCCTGCTTTCCACCTTCTCCCTCTCCCATCCCTCCCTCTCCACTATCTCCTTCACCCTTCGCACCCGGCACACTGTTTCCCTCCTCCCGCTTCTCATGCCCCTCCCCATCTCCCTCCACGGCCCCCATTTCTGAAGGTCCATCCCCCTTCCCTTCCCCCACCACTCCTCCACGCCCCCCCTCTACCTTCTCACCCCCTTCCCCACCAGCCAAAGTCACGCCCTTCATTTCTGAAGGTCCATCCCCTTTTCCTTCTCCCACCGTGCCTCCGCACACTTGCCCTCCCGCCTTTCTATCAGCCTCTCCTTTTCCTTCTCCTGCTGCTGCTACCTCTCCTGCTGCTGCCTCTGCGACCCTACGCTCTGCACCACTCGCTTTTGGACACCTCTCTTCCACACCCTTTCCCTCTGCACTCCCACCCTTGGCCAGCCTCCTCGCCCGTGCCCTCTCCCGCAGCCTCTCCCGGGTCCTCTCAGCAGCGGCCACCTTGGTGCGAATGAGGTGCAGCAGGGCCAGCCGGATTAGCACCTCCTGGGGATTCACGCCCTCCTTGGGCACTCCGTCTGGTGGAGAGGGGTGTGAAAAAGGAGAGGAACGGGTGAGGAGAGGGAAAGAGGGGGCAAGGGAGAGGAACAAGAAGAGACGAGAGGGCCAGGCGGACGAGCACCTCCTGGGGACTCACGCCCTCCTTGGGAACTCCGTCTGGTGGAGGGGGAAGGACAAAGGAGGTGGGGAGGGAGGAGAAGGGGAGGAATAGAGAGGGATGTGGGAAGGGAGAGGGGAATTGTTGTACACCCAGCGTCTGGTGGACTGACAGCTGCATGAATGAAGAAAGCAGCTGAATGAGAGGATGAGTTATGGTTTGGCCAATGTGTGCTTCCTGTTGCGTGCTAACAGGCTGCTGAGGCTCGTCAGAAGGCAGAAGAGCATCAGTCGCCAGCAGCACACGACTGGATGAAGGCATTGTGCTTGCTGCCGGCTGATGCTCTTCTGCCTTCCGACGAGCCTCGGAATGGTGCTGCTGCATGAAAGGTGCCACGAGCACAGTGCTACGTGCACGGTGCTACGTGCATGGTGCTGCATGCACAGAACGGAACGCAATTGCACGCACTCGCATGGTGAAGCCATTTGACAGCAGTTGAAGGGGTAGGGGGGGGACGAGGAAAAGGCAGGGCACCTGAGAATGTGTCTTTGCTGGTTGGATCTTCCTGAATGTGCTTCAGATAAAGGGCGCTGTAGCTGATGGACGGGGAGACCGATGATCAGAAGAAGCATGATATAGAATAACGGCAGCATGAGAGAGCGTGGAATAATAAAAACATTGGTATGTGGAAGTGGAACGTATACGACACACGCAGCCCTACGAGAGAATAGAAAGTCATCCATCATATAAAACAGTACAGCACACAGCCAAACCTCCTCTCCACAGGCACGCCAAGGCACAGAGAAGAGAATCATAGAGGCAATGCTATGCTATAAGTGCGTGCAATTGAGGAATTCATAGAGTCGGCTCAGAAGTTAAACGCCTTCCTAACCTGCAAGATGACTGGCAGGAACCATTTTTAGTTGAAGCAAAACAAGTTGCCTTCTAAATCAACTCAAAGCTCTCCTGTGACAGTCGTACTCACTCTTTAATCTCCTGCAGGTTGCGAGGCTTGAGCCGAGGCACGAACTCCTTCCAGCTGAAATCACCGATTCCGAACCTGCAATAGTGATTATATGGAGGGGAGAGACAGCAAGAGGTTGTAGCACGGAGAGAGGCAGCAAGAAGCTGTAACGAGGTGAGGCTTGAGTCGAGGCACGAACTCCTTCCAGCTGAAATCACCAATGCCGAACCTGCAGCAACGATTGTAGTGAGGGGAGTGGCGGCATGTTGATGTGCGAGGAAAGGGCAGCTAGTTGTTGTGACGTATGCATGATGCAAGAGATCAAAGATTGGAAGGAAAGAAGAGACGCGCAGATTGACCCTTCCTCCTTTCGGATGCCACGGTCACGACTCTCACTGCATCATGGGCTGATGGAAGGTCACCTTGGGGAAGCCGCACGTGAACCCAAGCACGCACAGTCACCCCCCCACTCACCGCATGATGAGCTGTTGGAAGGTCATGCGCTGCTTGGAGGTAAACCCCAGCACCTTGGTGTGCGGCCATGCCCCCTCCATCACATCACAAGCTGGAGGAAAGGTGATCTTCAATCAAGCATGCGAGCCCCACTCACCGCATAATAAGCTGTTGGAAGGTCATGCGCTGCTTGGAAGTAAACCCCAGCACCTTGGTGTGCGGCCATGCCCCCTCCATCAACGGCCACACCTTCCTCCTCGCTTCCCCCGCACTCCCCCCTCCCGTCCCTCCCACAGCAGCACCAAGAGAGGTAGCGGGAACCGGCTTTCCGTACCTCACCTTCCTCTTCCTCCCCCTCCCTGTACTCTCCTCCTCCAGCTCCACATCACTCTCCCCATCCTCCCCATCGTCCTCCTCCCCATCCTCATCATATGCCTCATCCCCCTCCCCTTCCCCCCCCTTCTCCCCCTTCCCCCTTCTCTCCCCCTTCCGCCCGCCCCCCTTCTCCCCCTCCTCCTCCCCATCAACCGTGTAATCCACATGTCGTCTTGCCCGCCTTCCCTTCCCCAGCTCCAGAAACGCCTCGATCTGTTCCGCCTCGTATTTGTCTTTCAGCAGTGACTCCCAGTACGCGGCTCTTCCTGCAGCGTCTAAGCGTTTGCCGTCTCTCTCCCCTTCCCCTGCCACCTCCTGTTCGCGTTGCCTTTCTCGCTCCAGCTCTCTCTCCTTCTCTGCGTCCGCCTCGGCTTGATCTGCTTCGGATACAAAGCTGAAATTGGCAACCTGCAGTGGCAGGGAACGTTTGGCAATAGAGAGAGGGCAAGATCGTTTCACCACGAGATTACTCGATTTTAACTGAAACCTTGAAATCGCTTTCAGAACCGATAGGGTATGACATAGCAGAAACGGCATCGATGTTTTTCAACTGCCTTGAAGCCCTTGGGTGGGATATTGACACTTGAGGCGTTTAGTTGAAGTAAGTTAGAGGACTTGTTGCGGTTACATTGAAGGCCTTGAGGAAATCGTTTGACAGGCGCATCCCTTTTTTTCGAGTACCAAGTTAGAAGTGCTTGAGATATCAAAAAATAAGGCGTTCAGCTGAAGTAACATCTCAGACCTCCTGCGATTACGTTGAAGGCTTTGAGGTAGTTCTGTTCTTGTCAGGGTCATCCCTCTTTTCAGGTGCCTTAAGTCCTTGAGATACCAACATTTGGCGATCTTCTTAGAATTACCTTGAATGCCTTGAGGTAGTCGTTGTCTGGCTCATCCTCTGCTTGCTCCTCGCCCACTGTGCTGCGGTCCAACAGCCTGGAGGGAGGCCAGTGGGGAAGGGGGGAAGGACAGGAGGTGAGAGAGGGAGGTGCACGGGGCACCACACCTTGAATGCCTTGAGGTAGTGGAGTCGTTGTCGGGCTCATCCTCTGCCTGCTCCTCACCCACTGTGCTGCGATCCAACAGCCTGGGAACAGGTGAGGGGGGAGGAGGACGAGAGGAGAGGAGAGGAGAGAGGATTTTTTAGGCGAATCAATAACGGCATCATCATCATAGTAGATTCGTCTGACTCTCCTCTGCATGGCATAAGCCAACACAGTGTTGCTACTCACTTCGACCTACAGACATGCCTGTCGATAGCAGCATCTTCATAAGCCGCTATCTACAGACAAGCCTGTAGAAAAGCCGGCTATCCTCTGCGTGGCAAAGGCGAATATACTGTGCTGATGCCACTCGCTTCAAACCCAGATATACCTGTCAATGGCAGCATCATCGTAGTAAATCCGCCGGCTCTCCTTCTTCTGCTTCTTCTTTCCCTTTGCGTTCTCATCCTCAGCTGCTCCTTTGACAGTGTCCTTGTCAGCATTCTTGTCAGCATCCTTGTCAGCATCCTTGTCAGCATCCTTGTTGTCAGCATACTTGTCAGCATCTTTACTTCCTTCTCCAGCCTTGCCTTTTGCCACCTCCACACCTCCTTCCTCCTCTTTCTTCCCCTCTCCCTCCTTTGCCCCTTTCCCCTCTTCCCCTCCCTCCCCTCCTTCCTCTCCTCCTTTCGCCTCTTCCTCCTCCTCGTCCTCTTCAAACAGCTCCTTGGCTCCGAATCGCAGAATGTCATCCAACTCCTCCTGCACAGCCACACACAGCACACACAGTAACAGTCACGCACTTATGAGACATCTCAAGAATCGTCTCCTCCTCGTCCTCTTCAAACAGCTCCTCTGCTCCGAATCGTGGGATGTCATCCAACTCCTCCTGAACAGACACACACAGCAGCAAGAAACAAGAGAATGTCCGCTTCACATATTTGATTTCAGCTCTTGCCATCAAAGCACTTCGGTAATTCTCGGTCTCACACGACTGCTGCTTTACTGGTTAAGCTCTAACACAGTCCATTTGATCCGAGATTAACTCAAGGGGGTATCACATCACCCTTGAGTTATTTCTCAACCATCTGCTTGAGTTGTGTTATTCCACGCACCTGGTTAAGTTATCGCACAGACCTGACTAGTTGAGTTACTGGACCCACCTGGTTGAGGTTGGACTGTTTGAGCTTCCCCACCACCACGTGCTCCAGCACCATCTTCTTCTTGCTCATCTGCACCATCCGCTCCTCCACTGTCGCCCTCGTCACCAGCCGGTAGATCATCACCTGGAAAGGGGCGACAGATGGAGCACCACATACACACGCACAAATACACACAGAGAGGCAGGAACTTGAGAGTGGCGCCGCGCGTGTGCTTGGCCCTGGCAAGCAGGGATGAGAAAGCATTTGCGTCCCACCAAATACACAGGGGAATGCCTCGTACGGAGTGGCAAACACTTGCGTACGCATGCACTGCAGGCGGAACGCACATATGGAAACACTTACGTAGAAATCACTATTTAGAACTCTCAAAAGTGATTTCTACATTCGCGTGCACTGCACGTGGAACGCACATACGAGTGTGCACAGTCAGTCCCTCACACACACCCATGCACCCACTCTGCCCCACTCCCCTCCCCCCCCCCTCTCCACCACCCCCCCACACACACGCACACGCACGCCCCTACGCCGCCCGCCCACCCGCATGCACGCACACATGCCCCTTACCGTTTGGGTCTGCCCCAGCCTGTGCGCGCGAGCCATGGCCTGCAGGTCCGCATGGGGGTTCCAATCACTGTCGTGGGGCAGAGAGAATGGGTGAAAAGTGGGGAAAGGGGGTAGATGGGAGTAAGCGGGGGGGGGGGGGGGGGGGGGGGGGGGGGGAGAGGGAGAGGAGAGTGGTGCTAGAGGCTATTGAGAGCACTGGGCGAGCCATGGCGTGCAGGTTGGCGTGCGGGTTCCAACCACTGCCAGGGGGGTGAGAGGGCACAACTGCCACCCCACCACTACTGCCACCCCACCACTACTGCCACCCCACCATATGGGGTAAATATACTCACAGTGCCGGGCCCGGCCCCATTGCGAGTTGAAAGGAGTCTACTTTTGAGGCACCTCAGAGAGGTGTGATGAGTCTAATTTTGAGTCGACTCAGAATGAGGCGCCTCAAGAGTAGACTACTCACAGTGCCGGGCCGGGCCGGGCCGGGCCCCATTGCGAGTTGAAAGGGAGCAATACAGAGCGGATGGACCCCGATAAAGTGAAGCTATAGCCAGAGTCTAAACTCTAAGATTACCTACCTGTCCCATACAATCACATTCTTTCCGCAGCCGTTGTATATCTATATCTGTAACAGCAGTGGCCAGGTTGATTCCGAGTCCCCCAGCACAAGTGGAGAGGATGAACACAAAATGGGTCGACCCCAGCGAAACCACAAATTATACTTTGAAATACATGTCCTATATAGTCACATCTTCTGTTCCGCACCTGTCGTATATAATCACAGTGTCAGCAGTGGCGAGGTTGATCCCCAGCCCACCAGCGCGAGTGGAGAGCAGGAACACAAAGCGGCTAGACCCGGGAGCATTGAACCGGTCGATGCGCTGCTGCCGGTCCGTGCCGCTCACGCTGCCGTCTATGCGCTCGCACCCCCAGCCCTGTGGGGCAGGAAATTCGGTTGAGGGGATGGAGAGAGAGAGTGGTTAGTAGGAGTAGTAAGAAAAAGACTGGGCCACAGTGCGTTGAACCAATCGATGCGCTGCTGCCGGTCCGAGCCGCCACTGATGCTGCTGTCTATGTGCTCACAGAGTCACAGCCCCAGACACCCCTGACGAATGGGGTGTTCGGGTAGGGGCAGAAGGAATGGAGCACACAGTGGGTGTGGGAATGGTAGGAGGGTTGACCCCACCCCGCTGGAAGCACACAGTGGGTGCAGTGAGTTGGATCGCAACAGAATCAGGCTCCCATCAAAGCACTGCTGTCGGTCCGAGTGAGCTTATAAGCCCTGATCGTCTGTCAACTGGCTTTTAGATCTCCACTCCACCTGGCTGGACAAAAAAGCGGCTAACGTTGCCAGCCCGCCAGACACTGCTCGGCAGCAGGTCCAGCACGTGCTTTAACTGCTGGAAGAGGAGACCAAACCATCCCTCTCACCTCTCAACCTCCCCACGAAAAAGCGCTAACGTTGCCAGCCAGCCGCTGCTCGGCAGCAGATCGAGCACGCGCTTGAACAGCGCAGAGAAATCGCCCAAGTCATGAACTGAGTCACGTGACGCATCCATCCATCCAACCCAACCCAACTCGCCTCACCCTCCCCACCTTGCTTTATCAAATCAGTACCCAGTGACCCACCTTGCCCATGAGCCATTCTTGCAGCAGGTCTAAGATGCGCTTGAACTGAGAGTACACCAGCACTGATTAAAAGCACAATCTGATCACACTCAAACTTAAAGCCACTCATGCACCTTGCCCATGAGCCACTCCTGCAGCAGGTCCAGCATGCGCTTGAACTGAGAGTACACCAGCACGCGGTGCCCCCCCGCCTTCAACCGCTCCAGCATTCGCTCCAGCAGGGCCAGCTTGTCCGATGCTGCCACCATGCGCCTGGGAGGGGGACAGATGGGGACAGGGGACAGGGGCAATGGAGCGGAGAGAAAGTGAAGGACATCACGTTGAGCCGCTCCAGCATGCGCTCCAGCAGGGCCAGCTTGTCAGATGCTGCCACCATGCGCCTGGGAGGGAAGTGCATGGAGAGGAACAAGGGACAGGGAACAGAGGCAAGGTGAGTACACCAGCACAAGGTGCCCCCGCCTTGAGCTGCTCCAGCATTCGCTCCAGCAGAGCCAGCTTGTCAGATGCTGCCACCATGCGCCTGGGAGGGAAGGGACGTACACAGAAGGTGAGGACAGGGGACAGGGGAAGGGAGGGAATAGAAGGTGACGGGCATTACTACCGTGTGGCGCTCCAGCATTCGCTCCAATTGGGCCATCCTGTTGGATACTGCCATATTGGTGCGACTTTTCAGAATTTTCAAAAGTCGCACCGACATCTAGTAGGATACTGCCACCATATGCCGGGGAACGAAGAGAAGTACATGGAGTGAGAGTGTGCGAGTGGGAGCGGGCGAGTGAAAACCCTCCTTTCCCACTTTTTCCTCATGCCCCCTCCATGGAACGGGTGGCAGCACACCTTCCTTAGCTGTGGTCTCTCTGTGCGGCCATTTCCCCCCCCCCCCCCCACCGTTACTTACCGGCTGGCTTCTGCGGGCGTGTCTCCCCCTCCGTGCTGCTCCTCCACGCCCTCCACCAGGAACGGGTGGCAGCACACCTTCCTCAGCTGCATCATCGTGTTGGTCAGGGATACCTGTGGGGGGAGATGAAGATTGAAGAGCGGCAAAGAATTCACAGGGGGGGAAGGAGCAAGGAACGGAGTAAGGGATGGTACAGCCACGCTACCCCTCCACCAGGCACGGGTGGCAGCACACCTTGCACAGCTGCATCATGGTGTTGATTAGAGAGACCTGTGTGGGATGATAGCAGATGGCTGGTGGGAATCGGGGGGTGACCAAGGCAAGGATTGATATGAGGGGTGAGGTGATGCCTCACATACTCTTCTTCACTCCAATGCTCTGATGCCTTAATGAGTGCCTCGTAATTGCGGGTGAGCAGTGTGTGGTACAGCACAGCACAGCGAGCTATCCGTAATGGGCATAAGTACAGCGTTCCATGTGTACCTGCTTCCCGGACGCCTTGGTGAGAGCCTGGTAGTTGCGAGTGAGCACAGTGCAGTGATATAAGTAAGGAGCAGAAGTATAGCGTTCCCTGCATAAAACGTACCTGCTGCCCCCATGCCTTGGTAAGCACCTGGTAGTTGCGGGTGAGCACAGTGCAGTGATATAGGTAAGGAGCAGAAGTACAGCGTTCCCTGTGTAGAACGTACCTGCTGGCCGGACGCCTTGGTGAGCGCCTGGTAGTTGCGGGTGAGCACAGCTCGGTACAGCAATGAGTAGGTATTGGTTTGGTTCCATTCCATACATGCTTGAAAAGCACCTCATGGCTGAAAGCCTACCTGCTGCCCCGATGCCTTGGTGAGTGCCTGGTAGTTGCGGGTGAGCACAGCTCGGTACAGCGAGCGTTGCAGCGGCGCCAAGTCCACACGCAGAATCTGCTCCTTCTTGGGCGGCATCTGCTTCAACACGTCCTTCTTCAGCCCTGGGCGAAGAGAGCGAAAGAGGAAGGACAATGTCCAATAGAAGGTACTTCTTCTGATTAGCAAGAGCTTCAAGGCCAGAGGTTTGAAGCATAAGGCTCAGAGCTTAGGATTCAGGGTCTTAAAGCTGCACTCTACATTCTAAGTGGTGTTTTTCGGGGGTATTTTTTATGCCCACCCTTTCGTGCGGCCTGATTGGAGAACGAAGTCAGCATGTTTCAGAAACACCGCAGCGACGAACTCAGACAGGAAACACGAATTCCGCCCAACTTCGTGCTGACGTGTGGTTTGGGGGAAGGGTCTGCGGAAGGGCGGGAAACAACCTGGGGACTTCGGTTTCGGGCGGAAAGAACCCCAACCTCCTCTCTCCAACCCCCTCAACCGTTAGCTTTGCATGAAAGGGGGCCGAGTCCAAAAACGGGTCACCCTGTTTTCAAGTGATAAACTCAGGCCTCCCGCTCGTAGTATGTAGACCGCAGCTTTAAACTTCGGGGTATCGATTCAGGTGTTGGCTTGCTCATGAGGAGGTGTGGCGCGAGCAGGTGGTGCAGCTTCGACACCTGCTGCCATGCCGTGTATGAATAGCAAGGGGACGACTAACAAAAGCAACAAGAGCTTCAGGGTCTAGGGTTCAGGGTCTGAAGACTGGAGCTAGTGGTTTTTTATTTAGGTGTTTGCTTACTCCTGAGCAGGTGAGGCGCCAGCAGGTGGTGCAGCTTGGCTACCTGCTCCTCCTGCCCCAGCTGCTGAAACTCGCCCTGAAATCCCTCCAGACTCGCAAACTGCCGGCATAGAGGCCAAAATGGGGATGGGTGCAAGGGGTATGTGATCACATCTGCAGCTTTTGAGGCGCATCAAGAGCAAGGGGTATGTGATTGAAGGTGCAGCTTCCCTAAGGGAATGCAAGAAGGCTACAGATGAACCTTACCTGCTGCCATTGGTAGGGAGAGCCTCACTCAGATAAACATCACTCAGATTTACTCACCTCACTCACTGGGGCCATACTGAAACCTTTCACCTCACTCACCCTGCTGCCCTCTACTTCGTACGTTGGTGCACTGCTCTACTCCACACAAGGTGGGGCATTCACATGCTCCCGATCAGTTGATCACGCTCTTCCCCTCACCTCGCCCTACCTCACCTCACCGCATTCCGCCCCTCACCTTATCGGCATCCAGGAAGTGCATGAGGATGAAAAGCTCGTCCAGGTTGTTCTGCAGGAGGCAATAGGGGAAACACGGGGTTGCAAGGTACAGTGAAGAGCAGGGAAGGCGAAACGTGAAGGGACAGGGCAAAAGGGAAAGGGGGCAGGAAGTGCATGAGGATAAAGAGCTCGTCCAGGTTGTTCTGCGAGGACTGAGCAGTAGCAGAAACATGGGGGTGCACGTGCAAGGCATAAGAGGAAAAAAGGGGGAGGGACGGTAAGTGCATGAGGATGAAAAGCTCCTCCAGGATGTTCTGCCGGGCATTGCATTGCATTGCACTGCACTGCACTGCACTGCACTGCACTGCACTGCACTGCACTGCACTGCACTGCACTGCACTGCACAACGCCTCACCTGCAGGGGAGTGCCGGTGAGCAGCAGGCGGTGCAGCGAGGAGTAGCTCTGCAGCGTGCCAAACAGTTTGCTCTCCTTGTTCTTGAGGCGGTGCCCCTCGTCCACCAGCAGGCACCCCCACCGCACCTGCCTCAGCTGCTGCGAGTCACTGTTCACCGCCTCGTATGACGTCAGCAGCACGTCAAACCGCACCCGCTCCTGCCGAGACAGTTGCTCTTGCTGCTGCATGCGCCCACCAGGGGGAATGCGTTTGCTGCCCCCCTTGATGCTGCCGCCCCCCTTGCTTCTGCCTGCTGATGCGCTGTGGGGCTTGCCCTTTCCACGATGACTGCCCTTCCCACTGCGCCTGACCTTTGCCCGCTTGCTCAGGGGCATTTCCTCCTCGTCCTCTTCCTCCTCCTCATCATTCTCATTCCCCTCTTCACTTCCCTCCTCCTCACTCTCCTCCTCCTCATTCTCCTCCTCCTCACTCCCCTCCTCTGCAACCACCACATACTCCTCATCATCCTCATCTGAAGACTCATCCGACGACGATGCTGACTCTCCCCTCCGTCGTTTCCGCTCCTTCTGTTGCTTCTGTTGCTTCATCTCCCTTCCTCTCTTCTTCCCTATATCCTTCTTTCCCTTCGTTTCTCTTAGCCTGCCCTTCTCCCTACCCCTAACAGCCCTCCCTGTACTCTCGCTTCTCATCACACCCCTGCTCCCAGCCTCCCCATCTTGCCTCCTCATGACACGAGAAGAGGTCCTGGTCCCCATCTGCCTGCGTCTACCCTTGCCTGCCTGCTCATCCTCCTCCTCTTCCTCCTCTTCATCTTCCTCCTCCTCCTCGTCCTCTTCGTTCCCCTCCTCCTCTTCCTCCTCCTCCCTTTCCTCCTTGCCTCTTCCATCCATATCCTCCAGCACCCCAACCTCTTCCACCTCATCCTCACTATCCCCATCTGACCCGCCAGAGGGCTCCTCAGACTTCTCAGACTCAGAAGACAGCACCATCCTCCCACTCTTTCGTTTCCTCTTCGGCCGCTGCACCCCTCGTGATACCTCCCTCCCGACCTTCCCACCTTTCCCTTTGTCTCCACGCTTCTTGCTCTCTCCACCCTTCCCTTTCTCGCCACCTTTCCCCTTCTTCCCGCCCTGCACCTGCTTCCCTTGCGTGCGCGTATCCTTGGTTGAAGGAGGAGGAGGAGGCGTGTAGGAGGAGGGGAAGAAGAACTCGTGCTCTCGGATCAATGCTCTTGCTGCCCCTGTACCAACATACATCACCTGCCCAAATGCACACGTCATGCCCAAATGTACGCATTCACTCATGCACACATGTACGCATTCACTCATGCACACATGCAGCCACACATGCACACAAACACGCACACAAACATGCATGCACTCATGCATCCATACACACATGCACCCATGCACACATGCACCCATGCACACATGCACCCATGCACACATGCACCCATGCAGCAAACCCCCATACAACATCGAACATACCCCATGTGCGTGTACGCAAGGAAAACACAAGAGTTCCGGAGGGCGGCGGGAGAGGGAGAAAGAGTCGAGAGACACAGGTGTGAGCAAGCAAGAGCTCGAGAGAGCAGGCGCAGGTTGGGGGAAATCCAGGGGAGAAAGGGGTAGGGAGAGGAGGAGCAAGGGCGGGCGGAAGGGAGGGAGGGACAAGGCACACATGCACGCACATGAAGGGACGACGTGACAGATTCCCACTGCGACTTGCACAGCACAGAGCGGACAGCAGTGGCATCTTTGAGAACTCGCAAAAGCACCAAGGAGTGGAGGACAAGAGAGCATGTGGCATTGACCACGCGCAGGTGGGGCGCCCAGGTGGCGAACTCGCGCTGCCAGTTGCGGAGAGTGGAGAGCCGCACAACCACCATGTGGGGGAGCACAGAGGAGTACATAGGGGTTGAAAGGTACGAAGGTGAAGTGAACATGTGCACTCACCACTCGCAGATGGGGCGCCCGTGTTGCAGACTCGCGTTGCCAGTTGCGGAGAGTGGAGAGCGGCGCGACCACCATGAGGGGGAGTGCAGAGGGAGGGGTACTGAGGGGCTCAGCGCGGCAGGGGCTACGAGAGCATGTGCACTCACCACGCGCAGGTGGGGCGCCCAAGTTTCAAATTCGCGCTGCCAGTTGCGCAGAGTAGAGAGCGGCACCACCACCATGTGAGGGAGTGCTGTGGCCCTCTCCTCGTGCAGCGATGCGAGGAAGGAGATTGCCTGCACTGTCTTGCCTGCGGTGGGTGGGTGGGAATAAATAAGGAACGCACCAGGGTGAGAGACAAAGGATGAGGAAAGGGGGAAGGCAGCACGAGGTGGGTTGCATGAGCGCTGTGGCCCTCTCCTCGTGCAGCGATGCGAGGAAGGAGATCGCCTGCACCGTCGTGCCTGCGATGGATGGGTGGGTGGGCATGAGGGACGACGAGGGAAGGCAGCAGCAGCAGCAGGTGTTGAGATGAGAGAGGCACTAGGGAGTGGTGGCCTCTCCTCGTGCAGTGACGCAAGGAAGGAAATAGCCTGCACCGTGTTGCCTGCAGAGGGTGGAAGGGGAGAGAAAGATGGACGGGTTTTGAGGGACGAGGGATGCAAGAACACGACCAGCTGGTGGCGAGATGAGTGAGGTTGACGGCCTCATCACATGCAGCGATGCGAGGAGGGACATGGCACTGATGACCATCTTGGAACCCACGTATGTCACCCACCCACCCAGCCTATGTGTCGCACGGTCGCACCACCCACCCAGCCTATGTGTCACACCAACGTGACTCACCCAGCACCCCAGCCCCACTTGTGCACCTCACCCAACCCACGTCCCCTCCTGCGGCTCATCCCAACCCCCCCAACCCCCCCTCCCTGCGACTCACCCATGCCCCCCCTTCTCCCCTTTTGCAGCTCACCCCAACCCCCGCCCGCATCCCCTCTTCTCCCCCCCCCTGCGGCTCACTCACCCAGCCCCATCTCGTCCGCCAGAATCACGTGCTGCTTCTGCTGCCTGTATGTGTTGAAGTGCCTCACACACACAACCAACCCCCCCTTCTCCCCCATGCGGCTCACCCCAACTTCCCCCCCCACCCCACCCCCCCCCCATGTGGCCCACTCACCCAGCCCCATCTCGTCCGCCAGAATCACGTGCTGCTTCTGCTGCCAGGCGAATCGCAGCCAGTTGAGCCCCTCCAGCTGGTACGGGTGCAGCGTACCTGGACAGGTTTGAAGAGAGAGAAAGGCATAGGGGGTGATATGGGAAGAGCATGCATGTAGGTGCAGCGAACCAGGACGACTTAAAAGCGAGAGAAAGACGTGGAAGGTCAGGAGGTGATTCAGCTAGCTTCATAGAGGTGCAGCGAACCTGGACGGTGGCAAAGTGGGTGGAAGAAACATGGGGTTAAAGCAGGAGAAGGAGAGCAGGACAGGGGAGCACGGCTGAGCAAGCAGAAGAGAGCAAGCAACACAACAGGGATGGGAAGGACAGCTAAGAAGACAGACAGGCGATGGTGGTATCTAACAGTACGTTGCATGCTTAACAGTCGTGTTACGTTGCATGCTTAACAGTTGTGTTGACAGTCATATAACAAGGGGGGGGATAACGGTTAACAGTGTTACAGTATTGTTACCAGTCATAAAACATGCTTCGCCTTGCTAGCATGCAAAATTACGCACCTTTCAGAAAGCCGGGTGTTTCCTTGAACTCCATGCGCTTCCTCTTCTGCACTCCCCTCTCTGCCTCCTTACCCGCTCCCTCTCCCTGTCCCACCAGCCCCCACGCCACTGCCTTGGGTCCTCTCGCCATCATCTCCTCATACTCCTTAAGAGCCTCCTCGTAACCCTCTACAACTGCCTCACCACTCTCCTCCTCTCCTTTCTTTCTCACAACCTTCTTCCCTTTCCCATCTCCTCCTGAACTTTTCTTCCCCTTATCACCACCCTTCGCCCCATCCTTCGTCCCATCCTTCACCCCACTCTTTAGCCCCTCCTTTGGCTCTTCCTTCATGCCACCGGCCGGGCCTCTTCCTTTGCTCCGCAAATCCTCCTCTGTCTCCCACGTGGCCTCCTCATACCCCAACTCCCGCCACTTAACTAAGTACTCCTGCTGCCCCTTGCGACTCTTCCTGGAAAAAGAGCAGTAACCAGCCAGAGGGTAAACAAGCAGCAGAGCAGAATGTGAGGCGAATGAAAGATTCGTTTTGTAAAGGCATGGCAGGAAGGAGCTGTGGAGCGCGGCAAAAAAAAACAAAGTATTCACGACAACCGATTGAAGATTGAGCACGAATTCACACCCACTCGACGTTAACCATTCAGTTCAGTCACCACCAGGGCTAATTTTTGGATTTTGACTACCCTTATGATCAGTGTGGTACAAGGTCAAAAACCTGATTATCAGTGTGACCCCTTCTGAAAACCCTGTTACATCAGGGTTTATGTCGGTTTTCAAAATTTTACCCTGTCGCATCAGTGTTCTTAAAAGACAAACCCTGGTGAATAGTTTTTAACGTTGCACTCAATTCAAATTTTAGTCATCATCATCAGACATGCCACATGGGTGTTCATCGTGGTCACTTTCTTCTTCTGGCTCTGGAGTTTTCTGTTTCCCCTGGCGCTGCCTACAAAGAAACTGTAAGTCTGGCCAATGGTGGCCCACTTTGAGCCAGCACATGCGTTGTCAAGGCCGAAATTACGGTTTCGACAGTTGGCAATCGGGATTCGGGAATCCCGGGTTACTGGAAAGGGGGGGTGGGGGAACTGGGGGGGCGGGGGGGGGTATGGAACTCGCTTCAGGGTAAAACTCGTTATGGAATACGGGAACCCTTAGTCATCAGTGTGCCTAAAATGTAAACCCTGACACATCAGGGTAATCTTGACTCTTAAAAACAATTACCCTGGACCATCAGTGTTACTCCCAAAAACCACCCTGATTATCAGGGCATCAGGGTGATTTACACTGATAAAATTAGCCCTGGTCACCACTCATCACTCACTTGGCATTGACGATTCTCTCCACAACCAGCCAATCAGGTCGCAGCACTGGCACCGCCCCACTCTCCTCCGGGTCCTCCTCCCCATCCCCGTACAGCGCGCTCTGTGCTGCTGCCTCTGCCCTCTGCCGCAGGTAGTTCCTCATCCGGGCTTTAAGACCAGGGAAGCTCTTTGCTGCTGCCTCCAATGCTGAAGCTGCCACCCTGGAGAGTCGAGGGGGGGGGGATGGGAGGGAGAGCGGAGGGGGAATACACGAGGGAGGGAGGGCAAGGGGGACGAAGGAGCGGAGGGAGAGGAAGGGATGAGGGATGAAGCAGGGCAAGGGGGACCAAAGTATGACGCTCTGCCCTCCAGTGCAGGCAGTTCATCAACCTTCCCTTGAGTCCCCAAAAGGTCTTTCCACTGTTGCAGCTGCCACTTGAGGGAGCTTGAGGGGTTGAAGGGTCAAAGGAGGAGAAGTGGAGCAGAAGAGAAGAGGAGCAGTGGAGTAGTGGGGGAAAGCACGCTAGTCATTCTAGATTCCCTACAGGCAGTCAGACAGTGCAAGCAAGTCAAGTAGTCCGAGTGGGTGTTAAGGAGTGCGTGTGAGGGAGAGAAACGGAGTCGGAGAGAGAGAGGTTAGACAATGGGAACAAGAGTATACCAGGTGCAGTGAATGTGGGTCATGTCTCTCCCCTTGATCAAATTCCTCACCTCGCCTCTTGAAGGGCAAAAGCACAAATTCTTTGAGGCGCCTCAAAAACGTACCAGGTGCAGTGGATGTGCGACTTGTCTCTCCACTTGATCAAATACTCCTCCACTCGCCTCCTCTCACCCTGCCCTCCATTTTCCCTCCCATCGCCATCCCTACCCCCATCCCTGCCCCCCTCTCCTGTCCCTCCATCCGCCCTTCCCTCACTCCCTTCACCATCCCCGCTTCCTCGCTCGCCCCCATGCTCCACCTCTCTCACGCCTAGAGATCGCTCCACTGCCGCCCAGTCGTGGCCCTGCATGCAGAGTGATAGGGGAGTGACATAGAGAGAAAGAAGTGGCGCGGGGGGAGGGGTGGGGGAGGGGGAGAGTGGGGGGAAGGGGGAGAACGGAGGGGCTGTCTTGGAAAAGGCACCCTCAGGCGCAAGAATCGCTCCACTGCTGACCTGGCCCTGAAAGGAATAACAAATACGGAAGGATAACGATATAAGTTGGCTCCCTCTCTCCCTCATTCCCTACATGTTCGCTCCATCTCTCTCACGCCCAGGGATCGCTCCACTGCCGCCCAGTCGTGGCCCTGCTCGCACAGAAAGTGAGGGGAGGAGGGAGAGACGGGGGCGAGCGAACAGAAACGGGAAGAATGGGAGTTAGTGGCTAGGGAAAAGCAGGCTTCTTCACGCCCAGAAATCGTTCCACTGCTGGGACAGAGCGAGAGGGGGTTGAGATAGAGAGAAAGAAAGGGGGAGGGAGGGAAAGGGGGGGTAGGGAAAGGCAGGCTTCTTCATGGGGCGTTGGGGCCTACAGGCACAGAAGAGAGGATGACGAAGAGAGCGGCATGGCATGTGCGTCATGTTCAGGGCAGCAGCACGCCGCAGCAAATACATATAGTTATACCTAAACAGCCTTGGGCCACATGGCATGGCATGGCATGGCATGGCATGGCATGGCATGGCACGGTATGGCATGGCACGGCACGGCATGGCAGGGCATGGCATGGCATGGCATGGCATGGCATGGCATGGCACGGCATGGCACGGTATGGCATGGCACGGCATGGCATGGCACGGCACGGCATGGCATGGCACGGCATGTGTGTGTGACTCGCGCATTTGGGGCAGAACCAGGCGCCTTCAGGCACGCGGCGGGTGCAGGCAAGCAGGCGTCACTCATACTCTTAACACATATATGACATGACATTAGCATGTAGTGTAACACGCACATAACTCAAGCATGACTCACGCATTTGGGGCAGAACCAGGCGCCTTCGGGCACGTGGGAGAGCGGCGGGTGCAGGCAGTACAGATGGTACAGAGCAGGGCAGGACATGCATCAGTCATACGTACTCTAAAGCCAACACATGTATGGCATTGCATATGATATGACTCACGCATTTGGGGCAGAACCAGGCTCCTTCGGGCACATGGGAGAGAGGCGGGTGCAGGCAGTACAGATGGTACACAGCGGGGCACGCGTCACACATCAGCAGCTCGCCATCGCCCCCGCACACCTCACACACGTCATCGTCCTCCGCAGCCACCTCAGCTTCCTCTCCTGACACGTCAGCATCCGCCTCAGCCTTCTCCTCTGACACGTCAGCATCCCCCTCAGCCTCCTCTGACACGTCAGCATCCACCTTAGCTACCTCCTCATCCTCCCCCTGCTCCTCTTCCACCTCCACCCCCTCCATCGCCTCTTCGCCACCCCTCCCCGTCTTCCCCCCATCCTTCCCCGCACTTCCGCTACCCCCCGCCTCCCCACCCTTCCCGGCGGCCGTCGTTGCGCCATCCAGCTTTCCCCCCCCTGCTGCACTCGCAGGCGTGGAGAGATCTACTTTCACCTTCTCTGAACGCCTCTCCTTCGCCTTCCCGCCACCTCTTTTCTCGCTTGTTTTATCATCTGCTTTCCCTGATTTGACATCTGGCTTCCCTGTTTTAGCCGGCTTACCGCCTTTTCCGCTACTCCCTCCTGCCTCCCCGCAGCCACGCTTCGAACGCCGCGTCGTCGTCGTCGTCAGTGTAGACGGGTAGCCGTGAGCTTCGATTCGACCGGTTGGAGAACCGGCGGGATTGCAAGTCCCGCATCGCTTACCGGTCGCTTTAGGGACTCCCGGATCGCACGCAATCAGGTTTGGCGATTTCGAAGCCTGAAAATCCGCCGCAATCGCCGCTTACGGATTGATTGCGCGCATAACACGCGAAGGTATCAGACAGTTGGACGGGAATGGAGGAGATTAAGGACTACTTCCAATTTATGATGGTCATAGTGGGTAGTGCTATGTGACGTCATAGGTCCAGATCTGAAATGTCATATCATCTTCCGCATCAGCTCTATGGTATGGTGGTGTGCGAAAACTAGAAACCAGCTTTCGCCAGCTGTCGCTAACGTGTGGTAACCCTATCGCATATCCCATGTGGGAACCTTGAGAGTTGTCCTCAGAGGTAGTTTGTGAGTGAGTGTGGAGCAGGGGACCCATGTCATCCATGACATGGCATGAGGTGACATGAAACGGCCTGGCCTGGAGGAACACGAACTGCACGGTGAGATGTAACGACATAGGCTGGGAAGTTGGAAACTCGAGGCGTTTCAACATGCCTCAACAGCTTGCGTACCGGGTACGTTAAACTTGGTTGTTCTGGGCCTGGAGCCTATGACTAGGCAGATGTGACCTTCTGGAGTGTTGTCTCGGCAGAGAAGACAATTGGGCAGATGAAACTGTGTTGAAATCTCAATTGGAACATGAAACTGCCCGTAAAATAAAAATACAGTAACAATAGAACCCTAAACCCTTCAATTAGGGTTCTCAAGTCCGTTTGTGCTATTGTTACACTTGTCCCAAAGCCATTCTTAACCTGTTTTCCTTTGCGAAGCCCCTGGGGGGTCACCCTCACAAGGCGCCCTTGTGTCACATTATCCATCATGACGATAATGTCGAGACTCAACCACGGTTATGCCAACAACCTTTACGCGATCGAATCTTCATTCTCCATTAGTTTTGTAACCTACTCCTTTAGTGACGAAGACCGTCCCCACCAGAGGTACGCATTTCACAATCACGCGTCTCGAAATTACGCATCTCGGAATCAAATATCGGTCGCATCAATCTAAAATTTCCACGACGACAGTAGCGGACACATGTGTGACGCGCCGAACCGTTTTTGTGACGCGCGACCTCATCCTGCTGACGAGCAGTTACATTGGATTTCGAGAAGGTGAGTCACCTCCATGTTGTGCACACCGCCAGCGTGCGAAGAATCACTCTACACCGGGAGCTGGACTACGGGGGAAGGCACGGGTTGTGTGAGTGATCGCAGCGTTCCTTAGTGTTTGCTCGTGTTCTCTCTACACACACATTCACGGGAGGAATTGGCAAGAGTTTCACTAGCAACGATTCACAACAATGATAGCAAAACAAAATAACACTGACTACATCAGATGCAAGGCTGCCTAGCAAACAGGCAGGTCAACCACCAGAGCAGCAAAGTCGGCGACCTGCCAGCACCTCAAAGTCGCCGGCACTCCAGCACTGCAAAGTGGCCGCTTGCCAACGTAGCAAGTCGACGGCGTGCCAACGCTGCAGCAAGGCAGTCATCCAGCGTTGCACCCGCAGATGCCAGCAGCGCACACGCGCGTATTAGCTTCGCATGTGCTTGCAGGCGGTTTGTGCGACGTGCACCGTCACGTGCACGGCGCGGGTGCCAAGTCGGTTACGTGCCGATGGCGGCGCCTGATGAGCCACGTCGTTCTCGGGATACCACTCCGAGGTCGGCTTTGCCAGAACCTCCTAGCAACTCTGCAGCTAGCCTGGTCGACCGCCAGCACTGCATGGTCGACCGCCTGCCAGCGTTGCGTAGAGGAGCCGCGCCAGCACTGCAGAAAGGCAACCTGCCAACACAACAGGTCGACGGCGTGCCAACGCTGCAGCAGAGCGGCTGTCCAGCGTTGCACCCGTAGATGGCCGCAGTGCGCACGCTCACAGGTGCGCGCAGACGATTGGCCCGACTTGCATCGTTGTGCATCCGTCGGCTGTTGTCTGCGCCTGACGAGCCACATCGACTTCGGGATACCAGCCCGAAGTCGCCTTTGTCACTGCGACCTCGACGACGTTCGCGTGCCTCTGCAGAACTCGCCGAGCAGGTTACCTGGTCGACCACCAAGTGCTCTGGTCGACCACCAAGTGCCTCTGGTCGACCACCAGGTGCCTTTGGTCGACCACCAAGTGCCGTTGGTCGACCACAACTCCCGTCGAGCAACACCCTGGTCGACGGACCCTTCCGTCGACCTCCCCGTCGAACTGCTCCTCTTGGTGAACGGCCCACCCGTCGACCAACCCAGTCAGCTGCAGCTGTCGAGCTCCCTGGTCGACGGCTCCAACCTCGTGACAGGCCTGTGCAGGTCGACAGACACCTCGTCGTCCTGCCCAGCAGAAGAAGGCCGTCGAGCACCCCTGGTCGACGGCAACACCACAGTGATCCCTGCAGCTCGACGAAGCCCGTCGAGTAGCTCCCTCACTCTGAACAGTCGGCTGCTTCTCCCGTACATCCGACCAAGTCGTCGGCGTTGCCCAAGCGAGGGCGGGGCCAACACTCCATTCCCGTTAACAGGGTTGTGTGGCTCAGGCGCCCTCCAACGTGCCCACTCTGCAGGTGCGTGTGTGCTGTGCACCCTAACTCTTGTGGCTCATGCATGCTCTGTGATTCCACTTCCCACCTCGTGCATGTGCCTTTGCTGTCCCCCTTTGCATCCCCTAGTGCTGTAGGTCACTCTCGATGCCCCTCTTGCTAGTAGCATCGTAGTAAAGGCAAGTCTGAACAAGCCTAAGGTAGCACCGTGTATGTCAACCTCTGCATCGTATAATGCCAAGGTGGGCCGGGTGCTCAGCGTACACCCGTTCTTTCTTCTCACCGCTTCCTGTGTTGCCCAGATTCGCCTGGGACAGCCATGGGCCAGCCGAGCATAAAAAGGGTGAGCCATGATTCGCATGTGGTTCTGCCCCAATATCCTGTGGAGGCTGCTGGGTGCGGTCGGCTCCATGGACGCACTGCAAGAGGTGGTTAGGGAGGGGAGGGTATGGGATGGGGACTTTCGTCTTGCAGATGCAACTGTCGTAGATGTTGATGGGCAGCCCCATCTTGAACGTCACGGCAGTGGAAAAACTAGCCGCGGCTGAAGCTAAGGTGTTTGGGTGAAAGGAATGGCAAGGAGGCAATCCCCCACCCCCGGCCCCTATACGGAGGTGAGTGGCCTGGTCCGGGTGTGGCCAAGGGAGGGGTTGGAGGCTTGTGCCTTGAGTCGAATAAGGGCTGCCACACGGCCACAGTTGGCAACCAGGGAGTGACGGTGTTGTTGCCAGGAGTGTGTGGCGTCCGTGCAGTGAGTGATGAGAAGGGTGTGGGTGTGCTTGGGCACCATCGACTCACACTCCCGAAGCAGAATATGCACTGCCAAGGTGAATAACCCTCGAAGATTTGGCAGCAAGGGGGAGAGGGCGCGGGCAGGTGCTGCCCATTGTGACAGGCACGCTGGCCTGGCGCCACAGTGCCTACATGTCCTCGGGGTGTCTTGACGCTTAACGCATCTATGGTCGTCTTATCTGCAGGAGGGCCGACCACTTGTATAATGGGAGGGCCGAAGGGGGCGCTGACTAAAGGACGTATATCACTTTCCGATAGTGAAGAGGAGTTTGATCTGGGGGTGTAGTGCTGAGAGGGCGGGAAGGGTTTCGGTGGCACTCTCTAGTTGCTTGAGGACGATCGAGCGGCAAACTCTAGGGTGCCAACGG